CTCTCAAGTAACTTTGATGCTATTGGAGTGAGTGGACCTGGAGCTTTGGATATCACTTTCATCACATTGCAGATCCTATTCATAAGGTATTTCCTGATGAAATCAAGACAACTTATGATGGGATTATCCCTGCCATGTATAAGCTTACTGTTGAATACCTCACACAAATTGTTGAGCAATATATCTGATCCTACTCTACTTGTATTAAACAAGTACACTATATCAAATAAGTCAAATACAATGAGCACTAGTAAAGCAAAACCTAAGGTAGGGAATATAACCTGAAAAGTGGCTTCTGACCCAATGGTGAGGGGGGGGGGGGTTTCTCTTCAACCACTCAAAAGCATCCTTATCAAACCGGCTAAGTTCATTCATGTAATGTTCAAATTCTGGTATTATGGTTGCTGTTGCACACTGCCATAAGTGATCTTTATACTCTTTTGTTTTCCATTTTTTCATCATATTGTCATAAATATGCCTTGGACAGAATCGATGCTCAGCTTGTGGGTACAGTTGTGCAATAGCAGGTAAGAGTCCTTGTAAAAGATTATCCCACATAATTAGTCCTACAAATGGTTAACAAATGAAAAATTAGTTATACAAAAAGAAGAAAATAGTACCTTTTGTCTATCACTCATGAAAGTAAAGTTAGAATTTGAATACAAATCTAAGTCGTCTCCTAAGCATTCTACAAAATCATTTCCAGCTACTCAAATTTTCAATCTCAACAATGGCATATGCCACTGGGTATATGCCATTATTTGAATCCAATCCAACTGCAGTGAGTACTTGGCCTAGAAATGGTCCTTTCATAAAAGCACCATCTAGTCCGAGAATATTCTCTTAACCATGCTTTAAATCCTTTCTTTAATGCCCCTAAGCAAACATACACCCTCTTAAACTGCCTTGTTTCTCTAGCACTGTTAGGCTCATTAACAACCTCAAGCTTCACAGTTGTATCCACATTAGTTGCTTGTAGTTCTAGAAGATAATCTCTTAATACCTCGTATTGCTTTGTGTAGTCACCAGTCACCTGCTTTTTAGTTGTTGATTTTGCCCTCTGTACTTTGTATATGGTCACACTAACTTGAAGTCTCTTCTGAACTTGGTCTTGAATGCTTCGAAGGGGTATTGTAGGGTTAGACTCGACCATGTCTAAGATTTCCGTGGATATATACTTCGCAGTGCAAGCCCTAAGTTTTCTAGTTTGAACACAAGTATGTTTGTCTAGTAAAATTTTCACATACCAATAATCAATATCTTTTAACCTTGAAGTCTGCATTGACCAAGAGCAATTCACTTTATTACCCTTACCTACCTCACTTGCATTTACATCAGGTACATTACCTTTACACACAACCCTAAGCCTCATTATGTCGTTTTTCTTGAAGCCAAGATTCCTTCTAGTTTCAATGGCAAGTTTGTTGACTTTGTCCTTAATTTCCTTTTTACTTTTATACTTTTGACCTACTTGAAAAGTAACTGCATGAACTTCACCAAGAGAGTACTTCTTCTCCTTTACCAACTGTTTTAATATTACGTTCCTCCTCTCATCATCGGTATCTTCACCTAAGGAGTCCCACTCATCATTATCGATTACTTCAACATCTTCAATATTTTCAATATCAACATTTTCATTAATACCCTCAATACCCTTTCCTCTGTCAACATACTCAACATCTAGATCAACATTCATATAGAAATCACTCATGTCAACCTCAACATCACTTACATAATTTTCTTCATCTTCAAGAAAGTCACTATCTTCCTCACTCCCTTCACTACCCCCTTCACCAAGTCCTTCACCAACTACCTCACTTTCAAATTGACCTTCAACAAGTCCTGCACCAACTCCCATACTCTGATCATTACGTCCATTAAAACTATATTTCTCAAAGAAAGGATCAAAGTCTTCAAATTCAAATGACTGGTCATAAAAGGTATCATACACTTCTGTATTTACCTCTTGATCACCAAGAGTTGCACCTTGATCATGAACTTCTGTATCTTGATCACCAATAGTTGCACCTTGATCATGAACTTCTGTATCTTGATCATGAACACTTATATCTTGATCACCAATAGTTGCACCTTGATGACCAATTTCAACATGTGCATCTTGATCACCAACAGTTGCAGTGTGTTCCAAGTTAAAACGCGATTTCTTACTACATGATTGACTCCCTTCAACTAATTGCAATCTCCTATTCTTATTGTATTCTGGTGTCTCATACCTTACCAAACCCAATTCAAGATTTTTGGGACCTCTTCCTGGTTTTGGTTTACTGGATACAAATCAGCCACTACTGAATTTGATTTTGGTAAGGGCACATTATCTGCTATTTCCTTAATTATGACCCTAGGTTTAACTCTTGGAGACATAAATTAGTTTCATTATGTTCAGTGTATATCTTGATGATCTTATTATGTTCAATGTACTGTGCAAGACTAAGTACATCAACATCATTCCCTAGAGCTCTAAGACCAAACTCCAAATCTCCATTTGGCAGTTGATAGTGGTAGTAAATGACTGGTGGTACCTCAAAACCAAGCTCGAGCATCACCTCGTCCAACTCATGCACAGAGAACACATCCATGTCTACCAGGTCCACGTGGTCTAGTTTTCCTTCAATGTAGCTTATCCCTAGGAATTTTGTGAACCTCCCTCCATGATGGAGCTCAATAGTGAACATCATGGGATAATCTTTTGTAAAAAATCATGAACCAAACCAAAAAAACATTAGTTTATACTGAGTGTAAGAGCTTTTTATTGTTTCAAACAAAATATATAAGAAACAAAGTACGTTACCGTAAATCCGGATTGCATCAAAATATTGATTTCTTGGCTTGATTTCCCACATTTGGAGTATACTCGTGGATTCGAACTTACGATTGAAGTTGATGATCAGATGCAAGAGTTTAAGGAACGATTATGGTTTTTTGATCAAGAAAGTAGGTTTAGTGGGTAGAGAGTGAAGGGTCATTAACTCTAACTGTGTATATACTTCAATATGGCGATAATCGATAACATAGAGGTGGAAAGACGAAAATACACTCGTCTTTATTGCAGGTAACGACACATATGGACGGAAGTTAGTGTGAGAGACCAAAAACAATAGAAAGATCCAATTTTGGACCAGTGGTGCACCAACATTTCGTTTTGGACCAAAAGCACAAAAAATTGCCAACCACAGGCACCAATTTTGCAATTTTGTCTTAATCAAACAATGATCTAAAATCCAAATGTCAAATTTGATTGCTAAATTCTTTTTCCAGACAAAATTGCAAAAATGGTCTCTGTGGTTGTCAAAAGTAGGTAGTTTTGGTCCAAAAAAGTTTGATGGTGCAATAGTGGTCCAATTTTGGATACCTTGTCTGGTTTTGGTCCTTATGGTTTTCATTTCTTTGTAGTTTTGGTCCATATCATACCTGGAATGACGAATATGCCCTTAACTGATTTTTTTTAATTATAATATTTTTATTTTAATTTTAAAAATACCAAAAAAAAAACCCCACCCACCCAACCCCCACCACTTACTTCCACATCATATATCTCTTTCTTTTCCAAGAGAAGAAAACACACAAACAGATACACACATACACACACACACTCAAATCGAGCCTTTCTTCTACTTCTATTCTGAATCGAGTCGTTCTTCCACAGACCCCACCCCAGTATTTCCCTAACCATCGTTTTTTCGGTTCCGTTCACCACAGAAGGAGTCGACGTCATATTAGTCACCGTTCTACCTAAACGATTTAGGGTTTTCGCCACCACCACCATCGGACCACCCCTGCTTGTTGGAATACCAGCTTCTCACCGGAACGTCACTGTTCTCATCACAGAGAAGTACAAAACTGTTAATAACACTCAATTCTTAGGGTTTGGAACATGGATTGTCAGAGGATATCAGTGTCGAGATTCCGATGATTAATTGTGGTGAAGTTTGAGAGGAATCTGACAATGTTAGGCGAAGCTATCGTCGGAGCAGATGAACGAACCAGATTGTTGCTAGCGTTCCAACGGACTTCGAGTATATAAATGAGGGTTGTACTCCGGTGAATTAGCGATCTTTCGATGGAGAATTAGCGATCTTCCGATTGAGAAAGGTGGTTGGTTTTAGAGATTTCTGATGAGTTTTCGATTGAGGGGGTGTTTGGCTTATCTTTTGAGAGGCCAAAAGTCCTTTTTGGAAAAGTTGCAAAAAGTCAGGTTTTTCTGACTTTTCCAAAAAGCCAGTTTTCCTTATATCCAAAATCCAAAAGTAGTTTTTAAAATGCTTTTACCAAACATCTTTTACCTTTTATCTTTTCCTAAAAGGACTTTTGGCTTCTCAAAAGATAAGCCAAACACCCCCTGAATGTAGACATATTTTAGAAGATGAAAGCTTATATTGGGGAAAAAGAGATGAAAAACCGATGGGGTAAGATTATATCGGGGAAAAGAGAGAGAGAAAGAGAATAGACACGTGGGAGATAGTGGAGGGGATTTTTTAATTTTCTTTAAACAATTGAAGTATTATAATAAATAAAAAAAATAAAAATAAATAAATTATAAGGGCATAAAGGTAATTTTAAATGTCTAGGGACCAAACATATCAAAAAGATCTAAAATTAAACAACTGATACACCTCAAAATATTTTTTTTTTAACCAAAATCACATAATTTCAAAAAAATCCAAAATTAAACAACTGATACACACAAAATATTTTTTTTTAACCAAAATCATCTACAAATGTTCCTACCCAATAAAATTATGACAAGTGTCATCATTATTTTTTTAACTAACTCATTAAGGATATATTATGAATATATCAAATAAAATTAAATTGAATGATGATTTGTCATAATTTTAGTGGGTATGAATAATTATATGAATAAAATGTAGGAGGTAATTTCTCTTTTGTCGTTATTTCCAAATAAAATCACAAGGATACGAACAACTTTTATAATTTTGTCGTTATTTCCAAATAAAATTACGGAGGAAAGTCAATCTAGCCCACCGCCAATGGTGTCTATATGCACCTTCCTAATCGCAATCCCAAACTACAGCCGGTTTTGCATTTCACGAATTGATAAATAAATACAGTACCCTCACTCACGGATAATTTACTAATTTAGCTTCCCCTTAAATTCACATGATTCTTGTTTCATCCTTCTCGCAACTTCTTATGATCCTTGTCTCCCTCATGTTTGAATGCATTTCCTTACTTTGGATGTCCTACACCAACGACAGGTAACTTCGTTTTCTGCTCAGATCTTACTTTATCATTCATTTTAGCTGTCTGGATTTTCGTTTAAGCATATAAATTTGGGATTCAAGTTGTGGAAAACAGCTACTTGGACTTTGTTTGACCTTCTATGTATGTGTTAATGGTGAATTTGGGATTTATTTTTGGATGATTCTCATGTAGAATATAGGGTTAGGATGGTAAATTTGTAGGGTAATATTTGTGGATTTCTTTTCCGTCCACTAAAAAGCTGCAGATGGATCGATTTTAATGTAGAACAAAGTTTTCTTGAAATGCAAAATTGATCTGTTTTTTTGTTTTAATGTCAACACCAAAACAGTTGGTAATGCTTCAATGTACGTTCAGAGAACCTGCCTCTTATTTCAATGTCTCATTGTCTCTAAGTCAAATTGCTGTTTGATTTGTCTGCAAACTTATTTTTCGAAAGATTGAGTATGCAATTTAAGGTGCTGTTTCCTTTTTATCCAATGTACTTACTACTTAATGGGGACATGAATAAATCTGGTAAATTATTATTGTTGTTCCCTTTTGACTTGATGCAGAAAGAAAAAATTAAAGGAGTTAATGCATAAAGCCAGAGATATGAGGCTTTTATTTGATGAATTTTAAATCTTAGTAAAATTACACCAATGTTGGATGATGATACCATGTTAACAGCCGGGGTATCTCAGTATATTTTTGGGTGTTTATTACTTCTATTATTTTATTGTGAACTGTGTTATTAGTAAAAAACAATACTTATTTCTTATAGGGATGGTAATTAATAAATCTTGATATTGGAACAAATTGGTTTCGGTTTTTCTTACCAGTAGAAGTATATTAGCAATTGTGTATTGAGGAGTATAAGGGAATGTTGCAAGTGATCAATGGGATTCGAACTTGGGCAACTCCAAAGTGATCATCACTAGGCCACTCCAAGATTTAAATGTTTCACTTGTTACCAATTTATGCAACTGACACGAAGTATGTTTTCTGTATAGATGTATGTATAATCTCTAATGTTCTTTTCGGAAAGTATATTAATAACTTTAATAGACATATTCAAGTATTGTCAAACTTTGTTGTTTGTTCTAGTGTCAACCTTTAACCGTGTTTTGTTTTGTGTTTGTGTTTGTTACAGCTACAGGGCCATCTATTGTAAGGAAGGTGTCATTTTATGGATCTGACAAGTTTGGAGCCCCTTGAGGTTTTGAAAAGATTGCAAATATTTCTTTTCTTGTGATTCCAATTTCCTTCATATCCTCAACAACAAGATCATCGTTAGTTGTTTCAATAAATGCAAAAAGTAGCAACGTGCTTCCATTTCTCGAGGTTGGATTGAACTTGAACGCCGGAAATCGAGAGCTTGTGTTGTGGTAGCTCTCAAGGTATCTAAAACTGTTTCTTTTTATTACTTTATAAGTATGTTTTATTATTAGGTAAATGCAAAAAATAGCAACATACTTTCATTGATATGTTTGTTATAGCCTTCTACTTTATGGAGCATTGTAATTGTACTTTGAAAAATCTTTCTAATTATATATAGCAATATTATCCAAATACAAACAAGTTTCACTGCTACAATTGGGCAGATCTTTCAAAGTATAATGCCCTAATAATGATTCTATAATTTGGTAGACTATTCAAAGAACAATGTCTTGATAAGAAAAAAATTGTAAGTACAATGATGTAACAGAAAGAAATCGAATTACAAGACTATAAACATTGCTATTTCTTGCATCTAGCATTTTATCATTGTGACTTCCCTAGAGGTAGGTGCATTTGTTACACGGGAAAGGAGGGCATTCATGTCTTTTGCACAATCAAGAGATTGAGAATGAGTCCTCGACAAGAAAAAAAAAAAAAACCGCAATTTTTGTTCCATTGACAAGACACAAATGGATTTGTTTTGTAGATATTTTAGCATGAAGCCAGTAGCAGCGGTTGATGTTGATGTTGAAGAGCACGGGAGTTATAGGAAAGATATTGAGCATGATTTATGGCCTCTTGGGGAAATCAACCCAACAAAAGGAAGGTTTCCATGTTGTTTGGTGTGGACCCCACTTCCAATTGTCTCGTGGTTGGCTCCTTTCATTGGACATGTTGGTTTATGCATGGAGGATGGAGCTGTGGTGGAGTTTTCGGGTTCCAACCTTGTGAATGTTGATGATTTTGCTTATGGTGGTGTCGCTCGTTACATTCAACTTGACCGCAACCAGGTATTAAGCTTGACTACAGTTCGGTTCCGTTTAAAAAAAACCAAAATTCATTTCTAGCCCCAAAAGACAGTTTATTTATTATTATTATTATTTTTGGGTTCAACCGGATTGGTTTTTGGTTGCTTAAAGTAATAACAATCCATTGCAATGGATCATATGAACCTCTTGAAGTCAGGGAGAGTCATGAAAGCATAAAAGATATTTGTTGAATTTTTCAGTATGTATGTAACTACAAAAATATTCTAGGCAGGTGCAGAAAAATCAAAACCAAACCAAATTCAAAAAAAATTGAATCCTTTTCAAAGGCTTTGGGGTTTTGTTTTAAAAAGCCGGAAGTTTAGGTTTTTGTTGGACTATTGATTTGAAATAAATTTATGGAACGTTTTTTTGTTATTCTATATTACAAAACCCAACACGTATCTTCTTCATGTTCTCATTGATTCTAATTTCAACATGTCTATGTATTCAATTGCTATTTTATTGCTTTATGCAACCAGAAGAAGAAAAATTAAAATCTAGAAAAATAACGAAAAAAACTCGAACAAAATTGTTTGTTTTTTTTCCCTTCCGGGTTTGGGTTTGGGTTTGGGTTTGGTTCTGGTTTTGGTTTTAAAATGGAGAAATAGCAGTGTACTTTTATTTATTTATTAGGGAGGCAGGAGTCATTCCCTCCCAACCTACCGAACCCACTGCCACATCATTTTTTCTCTTTTATTTTTCTTCATCTTTCCCAACTCACAACACACGGAAACCCTATATTTTTGAACCCACTCAACCCATTCAATTAAAAAAAAATACAAAAGAATCAAGGTAAAATCTTAATTAGCAATAGAGTTACCGCCGGTACCACTCCCGCTTCAGTGGGTTGTTTAATTGGTTTCACTAACCCACATCATCATCTCTCTCTACTTTCTCTCTCTCATTTTCTCTTGTATCATGTGTTTTAAAACTTGTACCTTAGTTGTTTTGTATTTTTTTTTTTAATTGAGTGGGTTGAGAAAGATAGGATTTCCATGTTTTGTGGGTTGGGAAAGATGAAGAAAAAGAAGAGACAAAAAGTGATGTGACAGTGGGTTCGGTGGGTTGGGAGGGAATGACTCCCTCCTCCCTTATAGCATATCTTACTTTCATCTTTACTGTTACAACATGATAATTTCAATATTTTTGTTACCATTATCTATAAAGTTTATGTATGTATGTATGTAGTGTTGCTTCCCATCAAACCTTGCGAACCACACATGCAAGTACCGTTACAAGCATTCAGAAAACGGAACGGCTATTAGTTGGGATGATGCGATCCGGTCAAGTAGGCGGCAGTTTGAGCACAAATCTTACAACCTCTTCACATGTAATTCCCACTCTTTTGTTGCCAACATTCTCAACCGAATTTGTTATGGCGGATCAATGAGTTGGAACATGATGAATGTGGCTGCTCTTGTCCTCTTCAACTTCAAGGGCCACTGGGTGGATGCTTTGGCCATCGTTAAATCATTTCTACCTTTTACTCTCATGGCCTGTTTTGGTATTACCATTGTTGGCTGGCCGTTTTTAATCGGTCTTCTCTCATTTTCTCTTCTCCTCATTGCTTGGTTTTCTCTAGCTACATATTGTCTTAAAAGTCTTATGGAATGCTAATGCTAATGTTATTATTTCTTTTCAAAAATATCATAAGTTGGTTTTCTCTAGGCTCTAGCTACATAAATTTGATTTCTTCATAATATCGCATTCGTGAAATTGAAAATCATAAATTGTGTTTGTTTGTTGGGCTTCGGACCTTGTGTTTAAAAATCTAATGATGATTTTGCTGTCAATGTATTTTAAGATTTAAATGATGTCGAACAAGTTTCCCTTGTATGTTTAGCAACAAGGAGCGATAATCCTCAAGAGGGAGATTTTACATAAAAGCTTGTATGAGGACTTTGTGATTTACCTCCTTATGTTGGTCATGGGACTGATTTGGCGGGGGTGTCCAGTGGCACTTCTTATGCTTAAATAACTGGTGGTATATGAAGTGCCCATCGGCAACTAGGGTTGTAAACAAATAGAACGTTCAACGAATCATTCGTCAATCGTTTGGCGGGAAGTTCGTTTATATTCGTTTATATAATAAATGAACGAACATGAACACAAATTCGTGTTTGTTTAGTTGTTTATATTCGTTTATTTAAAATGAATAAACATGAACACAAATTCGTGTTTTTTTAGTTAAAGGAACAAACATTAACAATGATCTCGTTAGTTCATTTATGTTCGTGAACGTTCGTTTATGTTGTTCGTTTACGGTCGGTTTGTTCGTTCGTTTAAGTTTATTTATGTTTATACATGTTTAAATGTTTTTTTTATAACATTACTATAATTATATGTTCATATATGTTCAATTGTGTTTGTTTATCTTTATTCGTTTAGTATGTTCATGAACATAAACGAATGAACACAAACAAGATAATTTGCTAAACGAACGAACATGAACAAGAAAACTTGTTCGTTTATCGTTTGTTTGTTCGGCTAACTTGAACGTACATGAACAAGCCATTTGTCCATGTTCGTTCGGTTCGTTTATAGCCATATCGACAACTAAATGAATGAGAATTAGTTTTTGTTGATAAGTGGATGATGTTAAGTTAGTGATGAATGATGTGAAGATGTTCCTAATCGAAGTTGAAGAATAGTTTGAAGTCTGGTAAACTCCACACCGCACAGATGTACTCGAGTTTACTTTTTTTTTTGTAGCATATATTTTGTTAAGATTTCTCCGAGTAGCCAACATCAGTCCAGTCCCCGTACACCGACATGCACCGGTACCATGTTTTGAAATGGTTACCTAGAAAACCACTCGACATCGACTTGGCTTAAGCTCTTTCTCTAACGATATTCTTCCACTGCAACATCCAATAGGCACACACATAAGTTTAGGTTACTATCCTTTTACCCCCACTATATGTGCTCCCATTTTTAATTAATTTTATAATTAATTAATTCACTCGTATGGGTCATACACACACCTCGCCATTCCATATTATGTATTTATTTTTGTATTCTAATTATTAATTCAAGTCATATTACATCACATGTCATACTACAAATGTAGATGTTCAAATTCACTACATAGCATCATATATAAGTGTATAAAGAGATACACCTTTTGAGTAACATACTTTCTAGCATGTGTTTCCTAACTCCATGCAAAACGTGTTATGACAGAATTGTAGCATGCATAACATCACATATTTAATACCAAATAAAATCCTCACCACTAGAATGAACCTACCATTATTTTCATGCACAAATTAACCATTTTAAGGAGTCTAGCATACAAAAGCTCCCTAATTTATTTTGTTACTACAATTCATCACAAGTTTAAAACCCAAACATCACATAATACTCAAAATGTAACATCACATTCAATAATCTAGACCATACACTTGTACTGAAGCATGCAAAATTCCCATATATATGTACTTAAACAACCACACGAATGACTCACATCAAATCCAAGTTATGTGAAGAAATGAATTGAGAAAGACACTCTCCAAGAGACCACTAAGCATCCTAAAAGGTTGCACAAAATCCCGATTAGAAACAAGCAATCAAAATAGAAAACAAAGTCTAAGTTTCATATTTTGAAGTTTCACAACCCGACCCTTATTCAGTGTTTTGAGCGTAAAATTGAATCTACCACTCCAAATACGATGTCATTAGACTTTCTAGAAACTAGACTCTATTTCCTACAATTTCATTTCTCTGGGGGCATTGTCTAATTCGGACCAGATTGAGCTCTACAACCCTCGCAAAACAGATCAACAATTCTGTCCAGATTTCTAACTTTTGACAAACATTACAACATACTTCAAGGATTAAGACAAGGACTCGAAAATAGAGATGGATGGTAAGAAAGTCATTTATACCTATGAAATATGATGAATTTCTAGGAGAAGGAATGGAGATTTGATATCTTCTAGAAGAATCCTCACTCGAAAAGCATCAAAAACACTGCACCACCTTCTTGGATCTTCAACAAAACTACAAAAATGGAAACCACACTTATGAACTTACTTTAAAAGGACTTCAATGCTAAAAATTAGGGTTTGGTGGCTGCAAAATGAAGTGATTCCTGGATTTAGGGTTTAGCCTCCTTAAATACTTGATAACTTTCATCTTAGGCCCCTAAAGTGTGAGAAAACTACCAACATGACCCATATATATGATCAAATATCATTTCCTAGCACAACTGGAGCCTAAAATTTAACTTTAACCTACCAAAGAGGCAAGTTAACAAGGATACATAATGGAAACTAACGTTGGTGACAGAAACAAAAAGTTCGGGTCATTACAAGTTGCGCATACCAACTTTAACCCTTCATTTGCCCATGGGTAACTAGCTTTCTTCTTCTTGATATTTCATTCATGATAGAAAACATTTGAAGCATTTGAAGCTTGTAGATTCTATACTTATCCATGTTAGTTCCAACAGGTCCTCAACATGCAATGCAACCCCGTCACACCTTCCCCGGTCGTTGGCGGAAACGCCGAGTGGTGACGGTACATAGATTACCTGAATCACAGAGTGCAAACCATGACTATCTATTAAACGAACCCATCTATCTTCGAGCTGATAGTCCTTCCTTGCCTTGATCCTTACTATATCCTAGGAACACATGCGATTTTTGGAAAACGTCAACTTGATGTTGGCGAGTTCACATGTTTTGAGATAAACGTATAATAAACTCTTTTTGAAAAATTTCCAGAAATTTTATAATGATTAAAAATCATATTCTTAAGTTACTTGGTTCCTATTTCTTGTCTTATTATCTTTTTAGGATATATGACTAATCCTATCTTATTATCACTATAGGATGCTTTTACAAATCCTAAGTTACTATCTTTGTAGGATATCTAATGATCCTATCTTATTATATTTTAAGATATTTTATTAATCCTAATGTATTTTATATACTCCTCTAAGGCGTCCCTATTGGTAGTCGGATCTCTAAGGTGGTTGTAATGTATTACCATGAGCCCCCATAATCGACGTTGTTTAACTAGTGATTTCCCCGCCACGACGCTTCATCGGACGTCGAATAATGATAAATAAGAAAGTTATCCTGCCGAGATTATAGCTAGCAATCGTAAATGGGGTGTCAATCCCCGTATGAACTTCCATTTCCTTACTTTTTTGGTATTAATCCGTTAAGACAACCACTCCATCCATAGATCTGACTAATTTAAGACCTCTTAGTCCATAAAGTCGTGGGCTTTAAGCCTTTGCATGGATAGGAGAGGCTAAAACATCATTTCATCCATTCCAAGGTACTTTACTCATGCATGGGGTCAAAAGAAAGATCAAGCAAACATTTTTATCAACCTAGAAGCCCAAAGATGCATGAAAGGACAAGTTAAACTCTCTGGAGAGTCTCAAACTCAAAAAGGTTCAAACTTTAGGGACTTAAGCTCATAAATCTTACACTAAAGAGATCTTGAAGAACACTAGCCAAGGTATAAGCTTTATACCTGAAAATGATGCACAAATGTGGGAGGTTTCACGATCTCTAAGCTTGATGCTACCTTCTTCTTCTTCTCCAACATTTTTCTTCAACTACAAGAGACAAGATCACTCAAAACTTGAAAATCACACTCACAAGCCATACACACAAGATTAGGGTTTTAGAGAGGGTTGGAGGCTGATAAGGGTGGCTAGAAATGAGACCATCATGTTCTATTTAAAGGGGAAAAATGAATATTAGGGTTTGCATCCTAGCCTAGTACGCCCAACGTACTAGGTGGCCTCCACAATTCTACATGGTGCATGCGTACGCCCCTCGTACTGACTTGCCAACCTTTCACATTTAGGGACTAATTTTGACAAAATAAGGAGAGATTCAAGAATGATAATTGTACCTCATTTCGGGATGTTACAATTCTCCCCCACTAAAATCAGACTTCGCCCTCGAAGTCATCCTCCAGAAACAACTCAGGATATTGCTCACGCATCTCGGACCCTGGTTCCCATGTCTACTCCGAACCTCTACGGTGCTGCCATTGAACTTTGACCAAGTTCACGACCTTGTTCCTGAAGGTTTTTCACTTTACGATCCAAGGTGGCTTCAGGCTGCTCCACATAATTTTGGCGATCATCGACCTGAATGTTCTCCAAGGGAACCATATCCGCGTCATCGGCTATGCACTTCCTCAGTTGGGATACATGGAAGGTATCATGGATCTGGCTCAACTCCTCCGGCAGCTCTAACCAGTAAGCCACCTTGCCTACACGGGCCAACACTCGAAAAGGACCAATAAATCTGGGGCCCAGCTTGCCCCGCTTCCTGAAGCGGGTAACACCCTTCTAGGGTGATACCTTCAGGAGCACAAAATCCCCCACCTGAAACTCTAACTCAGAGCGTCTCCGATCCTCATAACTCTTCTGGCGGCTTTGCGCGGTCAAAAGTATCTGCTGAACCTGCTGTATAAGCTCAGTCGTATTGAGCACGACTTTCGTGCTCCCCATGACTCTCTGAACCACTTCGCCCCAACAAATACATGTTTGACATCTCCGACCATAAATGAGCTCGAACAGGCGAATACCGATACTAGCATGATGGTTGTTATTATAAGAGAACTCAGCCAATGGAAGATAGGAGTCCCAACTCCCACCGAAATCAATAACGCAGGCGCGTAACATATCATCGAGCGTCTGAATCTTCCGCTCG